TTTTTTCAGATATTGGGTGATGAGGTGATTTAAGAGTTGAAGATGCCTTGCTTAGTCTATGCTAGTGATGATTAATTCCATTCACCTTGCAAGTAGCTGATTAGGAATAGATTTGTGATAGATAATGAACTATAAAAGCAAGTCTGCTTAGGGACCTTCTAGGGGAGCTTTCTTCCCCCTTAAAAAAGGGCTATGAAAAAGGGCATGCCCTCTTTTCACCTCTGGATGCCTGGAATTGCAGCAGCCATCTTGTAAGACAGTGAAGCCAGTTTAAGAAAACAGCCAATATTATAACACTACCAGATATCAACCGATACTACCAGGTTACAGTAATCAAAACTGCATGATACTAGCATAAAAACAGATACATTAGTAAATGGAACAGAATAGAGCCCAGAAATAAATCCATGCCTATACGCTCATTTAATATATGACAAAGTAGGTAAGAATAGATAATGGGGTAAAGACAGTCTCTTCAATAAATGGTGCTGGGAAAATTGGACAGATACATGCAAAAAAAATGAAACTGGACCACCTTCTTACACCGTATAAAAACAACAGACTCAAAATGGATGAAAGACTTAAATGTAAGACCCGAAATCATAAAACTTCTAGAAGAAAACATAAGACGGTAATCTCTCTGATATTGCTACTAGTAATTTCTTTTCAGACATATCTCCTCAGGCAAGGAAAACAAAAGAAAAAAGAAAAAATGGGACTACATCAAACTAAAAATTTTTTTCACAACAAAGGAAACCATCAACAAAATGAAAAGACAACCAACTGAATGGGAGAAGATATTCGCTTATGATACATCTGACAAGGGAATAATACCCAAAAATATATAAAGAACTCATACAACTCAACGACAAAAAAACCCCAAACAATCCAATTTAAAAATGGGCAGAAGATTTGAATAGCTATTTCTCCAAAGAGGAAATACAAATCGCCAACAGACATATGAAAAGATGCTCAAGGTCACTAATCATCAGAGAAATACAAATTAAGACCACATTGAGATATCACCTCATACCTGATAGAATGGCTATCATTAATAAGTCAAAAACAATAAGTGTTGGTGAGGATGTGGAGAAAAGGGAACTCTCATACACTGTTAGTGGGATTGCAAATTGGCACAGCCACTATGGAAAACAGTCTGGAGGTTCCTCAAATAATTTAAAATGGATATACCCTTTGACACAGCAAATGAACTTCTGGGTATTTAACAAAAGAAAACCAAAACACTAATTTGTAAAGATCTACGCATTCCTATGTTTAAGGCAGCACTATTTACAATAGCCAAGATATGGAAGCAACCTAAATGCCCATCAACAGACGACTAGATCAAGAAGTTAGGGTTCATATATACAATGGAATATTACTTAACCATTAAAAAAATGAAATCCTACCATTTGTAACGATATGGATGGACCTAGAGGTTATTATACTGAGTGATATAAGTCAGACAGAGAAAGATAAATACCATGTTATTTCACTTACACGTGGAATCTAAGGAACAAAAAGAACAAACCGAAAACAGATCCACAAATATAGAGGACAATCTGGTGATGGCCAGAGGAGAGGGGGGCTGGGAGAAAGGGGTGAAGGGTTAAAGAAGTACAAATTAGTAGCTGACAGATGGTCACGAGGATGGGAAGCATGGTATAGGGAATGCAGTCAGCAGTAATGTAATGGCTAGGTACAGAGCCAGAGGAGAGAGAGGAGAAAAATCAGGGAGATTGTTTCATAAACTATATAAATGTCTAACCAATGCACTGTATACTTGAAACTAATAATAAGATAAAAAAAATAAATAAAGAGATCTCTCTGAAAAAAAAAAAAAAAAAAGAACAGCTAACCTTTTGAGAATGGTGGGCCAGAAGGATGGAATGAAGCTTGCTTCTTGATGAGCTCATTAAGCCAACAAATTATCTAACCCAGAAATGGTCCTATCTCCAGGCTACTTCTTAAATGAGAAAATTATTATTTTTAGGATTTTAGGATTTAAGCCATTTTGAGTTTGATTTTCCTGTATTTGCAGTTAAAAAAAATTCAAACTGGTTCTGAGCTAAGAACAGTTCTGGCTAAATGAGCGTTTGTTATTGAAACCACTTATAATCATCCCCTTGCAAAATCTAAATGTAAATGGTTTATGCTTTTAAAAGGAAGGTATGAGGTTTCTGAAGTATTTACAATAATATAAAGGAGATAAAGTTACATTCTATTTGGAGGTTTGGCTAGAAAAATAAGTTCTCTTTTGCTCATGGAAATGTGCAGCCTTGTACTCCGCTATGTTTTTGATATTGTGGCCCTATCACATTTCTTTCTCCATCATCTCTAAAAAAGTATTTAACAGTACTTTTTAGATCAGCCCCTGGCAAAGTCGACCTTGGTGTTGCTTTAGGAAATCAATATGATTTTTTTCTCTCAAAGCGAACAATATTTTCAAATTCCCTTTCCTTGGTTTTGCCCTAAATTCTGAATAAGGCCTGACAGTGAGTACAAAGAAAGTTGGAATTGCTTTTCCAATTAATAAAAATGTGATTCCAAAGCTGAGCTCTGCATTTTGGTAGAGTCTAAATTAAGTAATATGTACAGACAGAAACTCAAAACACTTCAAAGTATGGCTTATAAAAACCAGCATCATAGTATATCAATCCATGAGTTCAGGGATTGCCAAAATTAATGATGGTTTTTTTTTCCCCCTCCTGATTTATGAGGGTTACCCTGGGATCTATGTTTCTGTGTAAAGCAAATGCAGAACTTATTAATAATGTAAGCAGCTCTACAGCTCCTTCACCATTGCAGTGAAGCTCTTGCCTAAAACCAGAACTGTTTCCTTTGTACTTTAATGGATTAGATTTGTTTAACTTACTTTATGTAGCACTCAATCCAGTTCCACCAGCATTCAGATGCATAATGAATATTTGATGGTGGTGACTATGGCTGCACAGAAGATATTTCAGTGTCCACAAGAACATGATGGAATACTCTAAGCTATTTAACGCTAGTGATAAAATTACACAATAACAGAAGGAGAGTCATGCCTTTTCATATCAGTGCATTGTTTTAAGAAAACCCCAAATAAAAGGGAAGGGATAGGAATTAACATCTATTATCTAATATGTGCCGAAAATTTATATAACATCTCTAAGTACTATTTTATTTAATCAAAACCATAATCCTATGGACTAGGTATTGAGATTCTCATTTTCCTGAATTGAAAATTCCATTGGTTGTATGGGGAGCCAATATTCTATGTACAAATAAGAAAAAATCCAGCCAATGAAATTATGACACATCACTTATGAGATATACTTTGATATCAGCGATGTCAAAATGTAAAAATAACAGGCATATCAAAAATAATAATATATTGATAAGAAAATTCATAGAAGTCACACAGCCAGTTAGCAGCTGTGGCAAAGACAAACTAGCTAACCACCAGAACTCCTATTCCCCTTCCACAGTATGAGGTTCCTACTGAGAAATGGCTGTCCAGCCAGAAACTACACTTTCCACCTTCCTTAGTTCTGATCAATAGATTGTGAACACAACTGATATAGTCACTTCCAGGCCAAAGAGGTAAAGAAGAATGAGTACTTTCTCCGTCTTCTCTCTTATTCTACCTACCATTTATGTTGATGCTCAGGATGATGTTAGAAACCAACTACCTGTTGAATATGGCAAAGCCTCTGTGCTAGCCTGGGTTCCTGAATGACTATAGAGCTCTCCCTGTACCTTCAAACCATTGTGCCAAACAGGGATGCCACATTTGACCTGACATGAATAAACTTTTATTTTGTTAAGTCGCTGTCGTTTGGGGCTAGTTTGTTACATCGACTAGAATTAATCCAAATAATACAGTGGCAAAATTAGAATTTGAATGTCAGGTTCCAAAGCCTGGGCTCATCTTATGACACTATGCAAATATAAACCTCCAAACTTATCCCTTCCAAAACAAAGAAAAACCCAAAATAAAACAGCACTGATTACTTCATTTTAAGCAGGTTTCATCACTTGGTTTGAAAGAATAGGCAGACATCAATAAATTTAATAATGATATACTTTAGAGAGAAAGTCCAGGCAGGGACAATTAAAGGTGTGTGTGTATGACAGCACAGGTGTAGGGGAAAAAAAAGAAAAAAAGAACGAGGGAGCGATTTTCTAGGTAGGTAAAAGTGACATTTACAGGCATGCTCTCTTTTTTCCTCCTGTTTCAGTTTAATACAGTTTGAGTGCACATAAAGAAGATCCAGGCAGGTGTAATAAACCTACCCTATTAAAACGGTTTACTATCTTGAGGTAAAGATGATCCTGAGAGAGCCTGAGGCAAAGGGAGGAAGAAGTGGCTTGACTAGCAATAGATGAAAGGGAAGGAAGGGAGGTGACAGAAAATGGGAGCAGTCAAGAGCACAGGGTCTAGATTCAAGACAAGAGTTTGAACCATGGCTCCACTATTTCTTATACCAGAGTCCATGACCTTGGACAATCATTTAAACCCTCTAACAGTCAACTCTGTCATCTAGGTGGTAGAACAGAATACACCTCATAGGACGTTATGAGGATTAAATGAGAAAATGCATGCAAAAGGCACATAACCATCCGTAAGTGAGCACACACTGAATCGTAGTTATTACACTTGCTATCATTATTAATCATTAGCTTCCTTTCTTACCTAGTTGCAAACAGCCAAGTGAGTTTTTAATATAAATCTCTTCTACTGATAGGAAGTACAATTCCTTGGGAAAAAAAAGTCTGCTTTCAGCTGTAAAACCAACTGAGGTTAAGAGCCTACGGAAGTTTCTATTTCAAATTAAAAATAAAAAATTTGTTAACATGCTTTGAGGAAATGATGAGCAGAGAAAATATGAAGGTATATATGGTATGTGATATTTCAAACACCAGTTTCACTTTACTGCTCACATAAAAGTAGCACTTTTTTTGTTTCGCAGCATTATAAGGAATAAAAAAGAATGAAAATAGCATTAAAAACTTACCTTTTGTTTTTCATTTGAACGCTTTTTATTGGTCTCTTTTCTACTTTCATCTTCATACACCAGAACAAAGTCGATTCTTCGCTGGCCATCATTAAAAAAGAGGGAGTCAGGCTTTCCATTAAATTCTTCCTGTATGGAAAGGAAAAAACAAATATAATTTTTTTGAAAGAGTGCTAATTTGTAAGTATTTATTTTCTAGTTTTAGTGGATACATCGATGTGTTTATAGAGAAAGAAAAATCCAACCATTACTAGTTACTTCACAAAAGGTGTGGTCACCATGACTTCCATGACTTTTGCAAGTATAGTCTGCTCTCAGTGAAATAAGTTCTTGAGCAGTTTAGCGTTATTCTACAGGTTCATTGGAAAATATCAGTGTTATGTATGTGACACAATCATCCCAGAATTATTCCCATCTCAACCAGCAAAAGGAGTATTGTATTTGGAAAACAAACACAGTAATCAGAGATGCCTATTGGAAGGAAGGAAGTTTGTTTAGCAAGAAGAAAAATCTAAGACAAAGCGCTGTCAATGAAAATTTCAATATCTTATTTTCCAACTTTTTCATTATTTTTCCTGACTTCTCTCTAGACCTCACCACTTTATAGAAGGTACCATTTTATAACCTTAAACAAATGCTAGAAGATACTTTAACATACACAAAAGCTACAATGGTCTTTGGTATTCATTTCCAAATCCATCAAGGATACCAACTCATTCCCAGGAAGAAAAAAAAACCACAGCAACAGTTACAAAATAAATGAGCCTTTAATTTAGATCTTAAAAGCCTGATGGGTTAAAAAAACAAAACAAAGAAATAATGGCCAAACATAGACCTAATACAATTTAAAACAATCTCTATTACTATGTGGATTTTAACAGAATTGTTTTAAAACACTTGAGTTTGTATTCTCACAGCTTGTCAGGATGCTTATGTTCCTTTTGTTTAAGAATCAGACTACTTTGGACCTAATATTTTTTTTAATTTTTCAGTTTTTTTTCTTTTTTCTTTTTTTTAATTAAAAGCTCATGGGGAGAAAGAAATGCATTTTGCAGTCACTTGGTAGAACCACTTAATCACTAAATGTGATTAATTCTTCTCTGCATTCAGCATTAATTAGTACAAAATCACTTAATTTTACCATCACTTCCTCCTTTTCTTCACACTTTTGAGATGTATTTTTTGCTTAACATATACAATCCGATACTTGTGATTCTGCTTTCCATCAGGGAGCCTGTGAAGGTTCATCAGTATTTGAAGCTCCCCTCATTTAGTAGGTTACTCTAATGTGTGTGGCTGAACCCAACTCAACACACCTTCATTTCAGCTTCATTTCACCAGAGATTATAACCACAAACAGTGTGACTTTGCCTTGAGCCCTTTCCTAGCCAGGGCATAGAGGGGCCAGGAAAACAGATACAACAATGTCTTAGGCTAATGTCACTATCTGATTCTTTTATCTGCAATTTCAGCTATTTAAAATCAATAAAACTTATGAGTATTTAAAGCTATACAAAAATGCTAAGCCCTGTCTTTTTTGTTTCCGCCAGAGTCCTTGAGGCCCCTTCATTCTCTCTTCCTTTCCATGAAGGTATTACTATTATTGACGGGGAAGCTGCTAGAGGAAAATTCTGTGTAGAGTGACAGAAAAAAAGAAAGAATAATTTCTCAGAATGGCAAAGGGGAGGTGAAGTAGGGTAGAATATGGTCGTGAAAATCTGGTCATCATTGCAGACATCTGTAAAGTGTACAAAAGCAACTTGTTCTCCATGGCCCACATTATGCTGTGTTTGGTGGCATCCAGCAGGAGCTCACTAAAGTTAAGTTTTGAAGAATTAGGGCTGGAACCAGAACCACACTTTCACCTGACTCCAGGCACTCTTCCTTGCAGGGCCATCGCTCAGCTGCACAGGTTGGCAGCTAGCTCCCAAATAAACTGATCTGCACATACATTTTTCTCGTGTGATAGAAGACCATGTCCCTTTGTATGGAGGAAAACCCCTACTGACTTGGAAACAGTTGTCCGTGAGAAATAGCTAGGTCAAACTCTAATATGGTATTTTAGAATGCAATGCCAGGGAAAAAGGTGCAAATTTTTTAGTACTGTAAAATCCAGGTTTCTCATCTCTTGGCAGAAGACATTCCATTAGGCAATTGGGAAGAAGGGACAAATTAAATGCTGGGCTGGAAAGAATAGTAACAAACAAGGGAATTGGCCTTTTTTTTTTTTTTTTTTTTTAAGGTACTGATTTATAAATAAAACTGTGCTGTTTAAAATAAAAAGGCTGGATTTTCCAGTAATAAATTCCACTACAGGCCTAACAAATATAACGGGACATTGAAATGATAGAAAAAAAAAAATCCCCTCCTAAAGTTTTGCTTTACATGAAGTACAATTTTAACAATTTTTCTGGATAAATTTAAATAATCTTTAAATGACTGATTATTAAGAGATGGATTATTACAGTCCTGGCCTCTATGCCATCTCCCCAAGTTTACTCAAAATTCGATCATTAGTCTTTTCTACCAAGTCATGTGGTACCAAGATAAAATAGAAAAAAAACCTTGAAACCCAATTTTTCCCATTCAGCAGATTAAATTTAAAAAATACTTGGAGAGATGATTTAAAATTTATCAGGTAAAATCATTTTCGAGATCAGAGTTTATGTATGGTTACTGACCTTCTGGCTAGAAAATTTATTAATTCTTACGCTCATTCAGGTAACTTACTAATTGTTACCTTTGGGTCTTAGGTAAATGTCTTCAATGCCAAGGAAGTCAATAAAGTCTCTGTTAATACTTCTTTCTTCTTGGAAAATATATCAAGCAAATTTCCAATTACAGTTTGGAATCTATAATCATTACATCTGTTCACACCCACTGCTCTCTCCAGTCCCAAGAATACATTTATTTACTCATTTGTAGCAACCTGACTTAACACTGTACGAAAAGTTCAAGGCTGGCAGCGGTTAAAAGGACTACCTATGTTCATTTGTTATTATCTCGAAATAAAGCCAAACAATGTCGCCCACCACTGCAGAATAGTGACCTGACCACTTCTATCTTTGGCTGTTGGTACTGACATTTCACACTGGGATAAAGAGGAGACATGCTTGGTCTGAGTTAAGGGGAGATCTGAGAGCTTGGCTGAGTGGTGTAGAAGAGAAAAGAAGAGACGTCATGTGTGATTTACCCAAGTTATGTTTTCCAGGCCTCCCTCCCTTCATCTGGCTTCTCTCCTCCTCTTATTTGTGCGCAGCTCCTTCAACAAAAGAGCCCAAAAGGGCAGGATCCTCCTTAACCAAATCAGGACAAGAAATGCAAGCAGAAAAATTACTCTGCCCAGGGCCTTCAAGCTGGTGCTGTGAGTTTGACAACACTAAAAAATACGATTTGTTGCTATTGGCTAGGAAGTTTGTGTGGGTACCAGTCCTTACCCTGGAGTAGTTGAGACTACTGTACTATAAGACAAGTGTCTGAGAAAGAATGTCCTAGAGGGTAGAAAGACAAGTCCAAAGATGAGCATTTTCTAGTAATTACTTGGCAGGAAAATTTCTTATAAGCGGTCTCTGAATGAAATAAGGCCCTGGACTTCTCCTTAAATAGGATGGTATTCTTCATATTTATGAAGGGTCATGTGATGGTTACAGATGGTGAAATCTGTCTTATAGGCAGAGATAAAAGAGCTGGCGTAAGAGGATCTGGGGAAAGAGCTGCCTGAGTGTCACTGCTCTGTGGCATTTAGGGTGGTTATAGGTGAGCAGCCCATTACTCAAATCTCTGGCATTCGCACTCAGGGAGTCCATGAAATAACTTACTGCTTAACATCTGTCCAACACTTCTCAAGTGTCTCATATAACCCTGCAAAATCAAGACTGAAAGTCCTATTTCACAATAGAAGCCTCTACTCCAAGAGTTTAAAATACTGAGTTTATATCATTTGCCCAAGATAAGGAGCAGACTGGGATCGCTGCTCAAACTCTTGTTTACGTATAACGGTGTTGGAAACTTGTCTTGGGCAGCAAGTGATATTATCTGATTGTATCTCTAGAATTTCCAAATAGGCTATTCCTGCCCTGATATGGTTGTCATGGACTATGAGATTGAAGTGCACTCCAGGCTTATTTGGTTTAATGGTCTCAACCTCTACACAAAGCAGGAGGCAAGAAAGGTTTATTGTCTAACAATAATAGTTGAGGAATTACACCATGAAAAACAGTATCAAAACATAATTAAAGAGCAACTGATGTATGAATGTGGAAAAAAACATGTGGCTCCCTGCAGTCTCTAAGACTAGCAAAACAAAGTAATTAATTCCAAGAAGAATACAACAGAAGAAAAACCTTAATTAGAAGACTAAAGTGAAAATACAGGATCTTCCATTTCTCATTAAACCATGAATCCATGCACATAGCAAATTCCAGGGAAACAAAAGTTTAGAAGCAAAAACCTTTATGTAAAAATTTAGATATCGCAAAATATGGAACATAATGAAATTTTATTTACATGCCATGCAGTTATGAATGAGATATATTCCAAAGTGTTATCCCTGACTGTAACAGAGTTCACACAGATTTGAGGCATAAGTAATAGGCGAACTTTTTTTCCTTCACGCAATTGTGCAAAATGACTGCGGAGACAGAAGAGACCAAGTCAAACTTTATTCCTTATGTTTAGATCACCTGTAAGAACACTTGATAATGAGAAAATGCAAAGAGCAAAGAAAAATGTCAACTGCAGGCTGAAAGCTGAAGATGTAAAGACTTCTACTATGAGAAGCAGGGGTGGGAGGAAAGGAAGTTAGATATTCGTAACAGGGTTAAGGAAAAGTACATGGACACACAGACAGGAACCACACAGTCCGCTCAGTAAATGGCACACTGTGGGGGATGGGTGAGCATGTTTTTGACAAGACCCAAGCATTCAGGAACGTGTTGACAGGAACGAAGTGTGGTGGAAAAGGGGTCCATTCAAGGAGGAGGGAGTCTCCAGAAGTGAGGATTTCAAATCTGTTACAAAGTGTGTCAGGATGTTCTAAGAACGTCCCTTGGTGGTGACTTTGTGATGATCAAGAAGTGACCCAGAACGATTTTTGTACAAATCATACTGTCTCCTTCACTCTGTTAATC